AGGACCCTTGCACTTTGAATTATGTATATTTTTGTAAAATCATTTGTTTAGTTGAGCAAATCAAACGCAGATTCACAAAGCACCTGAATGCTGACAGGTCAGACACTAGAGCAATGAGAAGGATAATCCCGAGGTGAGGTTATCTGCAGACTGAACGTACGATGGACTGAATGCAGGAGAGGTGAGGAGAGAGTGCACGAGAGAGAGGAGAGCTGTGCTCGTGACTCTGAGGAGAGATGAGAGGATGATTAATAAAACACGAGGCAGAAGGACAGCACTGTGGAAACTTCACTGTAACTTCATCGCTCCAGAGCTTGGTGAGGTCGTGGGTTATGAAAATTATTATAAAATAACGCACGGTAGCGGAGCACCTTCCTTCCTGTCCGAGATCAGCCTGCTGCTGAAGAAGGGTTGCAGAAATGCCCCGGGACACAGAGCTGCTCTTATTTTAATTCTGTGAGTAAAGTCAAGAGCCTGCACTCTTACACTTTCACTGAAGTAAGGAACAGAAGATTATATACTGCAGTGGTTCTCAAACTCAGTCCTGGCGCCCCACTGTGTATGCTGGCTTTTGTTCTGACCACAAGTGCAATCTTAGGACTTTAACAAGCTGTTGATTTGCCTTAATTAGGTGCATTTATGTTTAGAGCAGTTATTTGTCCTCTTAAGCCACATTTGACAAATCTGCACATGCCATGAAAAATTAAAATTTCATATACACAATCAGATATGTTAGAAACCAGTATAAATAACTGCAGAGGGAAACAATTTGACCGAACCCTTAATCAACATGAACAATCAACGGGTTCCTTGTTGGTGAAACTTTCAACATATGGTTGCAAAAACCAACAATTTATTTGGCAAACAGTAAAGTCACGCCTCTTCCATTTCATGTTTAGTCTATGAAGTTCAGGCAAATTATTTTGAAAGTATTCAAAACACCTGTGTTCAGCAACCCAATTTGGAGCTTACTGATTTTCTCAGAGTTAAGTTTGATCTGTTTAGAATTGTTTTTTACCTGCAAATCCTCACAATATAGAAAAATAAGCATAACATGTTTGAGGGTTTTTATTTTTCATGGCACAGTGGATATGTCCATAAAAATGCAGCTAAAGGTGGTAAATAACTGCTCTAAACATGGAATGCAGCGAATTAAGACAAATCGACACCTTGTTAAAATCCATTGCAATTGTGGTTGTAACAAAAACCAGCATACACAGTGGGGCGCCAGGAACGAGTGTGAGAACCACTGATATACTGCAAGTATTTTTACATGAGTATTTGTACATTTATTTAGGGTAAGGCATGTGCGTACTTCTATCACCTTTATTCTTTTTTATCACCTTTTATCATAACAAACACAAGAGGGTAGGTCCATGAAGAAATGTAACAAAAGTGAACTCAGAAGTGTCAGCTAAATGAAACCACAGAAGAAGAAGGACGAAGGAGAGAACACGACACACAGGGTAAAGTATTTCAGCATGATTGTACAGTCATTAGCCTTATTCGACTGGGTTGTATGGTGCAGCACAGTGCCTTCAGTGCTGCACTTTCTGCAACTTTTTCTGTTCGACTAGAACTGCACTGTTTTCGGTGTTGCACTCGGTGTCGCACTTTCTGCGCCGATTTGAAAAGGGTGCAGCTTCAGTGCACTGTGATCACGTGACCATTCGAAAACTGGCGGACACTCGCTCGGGTCAGAACTCCACGTCAGTTTTCAACAACTTTATTGTTTTCAGTATTTTTCTCACACGTTTTAAACAATCTGCCGAATGTATGGTGGATTGGTGGATCTTTAGCCAAGTTTTGTTTCAGGTTTGGGCGATCTCAGCCACAGAGCCCCCCCCCCCAAAGAACATAAACCTGCCATCGAAGTCATCGCATCATCATCACTCTCCTCCTCACTGCTCATTTCGTGCATTAAAACCACCATACACAACTGCTTTGGGTCTGCCATGTTCTTCATATCATGTGATGATTCTACAGGGCGCTACACCAAGTGCTGAGTCTATTCGACTGGTCGCTCTTGGTGCTGCTCGTTTTGTTCACTGCGCAGGTGGGCGTGGCCTAGACGGTGCAGCATCATGCAAGACCAGTCGAATACGGCTATTGCCAGAGTCAGGATGAGTTCCTGTTAAAGGGATAGTTGACTTTTTTTGAAGTGGGGTTGTATGAGCTACAAATTGCCACTACTTACATTAGATGCAGTAGAAAGCTCTCTGATCTCCTCCAGGTAGCCGCACCAGGGCATAGTGCTGGGTGGAAATTTAGGCGATACACTGTTGTGAACGGAAACACAGAAACAGCGTATTTTCGCAGCCTAAAAGAGGTCCTGCCTGAAAATAATACACCATTTCAATTGTACGCTATATTTAAAAAAATTACAGCACTTTAGCTGCTCGGAAAAAAAACACAGTTGCTCTTGAACTAACCAACTGACGTATTTCTCCGTGAGGTGCATCGTAGTTCACTGCGCGCTGTAGCGATCAGCTGTTTGGGTCAGACTCCGAGCGGTTTGCGGCAGAGCTGGATTTTCAATGGCATAGAATCACGTCTCAAATTAAAAAAAAATAAATAAAAATAACCAGCACAGCAGATACACAGTATGTGGCTGCATAGACCCTATGCAATATCAATTTGTGCAGCAATGTTACATTAGACTTTTTCAAAGGTGTTTCACTCTTTTACCTGATGCTTGGGTACAGCCGTGCTCTTCAGCGTGCACCTGTGAGATTTCCCTGAATGTGGCCTAACAAAATCCTTTTTGGAAAAATGAATACTGCAAACATGGAGTTCTTTTAGGGATACGGGTGGCGCATCAATATCCGTGTTGAGGCAACTAGCCACAGCTACAAGTCCAATATTCCGCAGAGGAATGCGGTGGAAGCTGTAAGTGCACCAGGATACAGCTTTGCTTTCACGCCCAAGAAAGCACACACACGACCATTTTCAAATATTTGCACAAGTTAAACGGTCGTCCGACCTCAGAACGCGCAGTTAAGCCGCTTGCACACTGGACGCGAAACGAAGTTTTTTCGCACACAGATTACATTCAGTCAATGCGAAGACGTGAATACACGCGTTTGTGCAAGCAGCTTTACTGTGACCCAAACAGCTGATCGCTACAGCGTGCAGTGAACTACGATGCGCCTCGCGCAGGAATACGTCAGTTGGTTAGTTCAAGTGCAACTGTGTTTTTTTTCCGAGCAGCTAAAGTGCTGTAATTTTTTTAAATATAGCGCATAATTGAAATGGTGTATTATTTTCAGGCAGGACCTCTTTTAGGCTGCGAAAATACGCTGTTTCTGTGTTTCCGTTCACAATAGTGTATCGCCTAAATTTCTACCCAGCACTATGCCCTGGTGCGGCTACCTGGAGGAGATCAGAGAGCTTTCTACTGCATCTAATGCAAGTAGTGGCAATTTGTAGCTCATACAACCCCACTTCAAAAAAAGTGAACTATCCCTTTAAAGTCAGGTAACTGAGGAAACAAAGTGAAGTTCAGGACACGCCCTGCAGAGGGAGACAGTCTGACTCGCCGCTGAAATCTTAACCATTTTAACAAGACTGAAAATCTTGTCTTTTTTCCACAGAAAAATAATTAATTTTGCTAAGGATTTTTTAGAGTTTTAAGGTACTGTTTTAAGTGTTTTTAAGTGTCAAACTATCTCAACTCATTTGCAGCACCTCAGAAAGGTGTTCAGCCTCCCCAGACAGCAGCTCTGCCTGTATTACAGTATTCATTTCTTTTTTAACTAAAGTAAGAGTAACAAGATTCTCTGCCCAAATAGCAGTTTAAAATATGATTATAATTTTTTTTTCAATGCAAACGGTTTTGTAGTTTTGTGATATGCCCTGCTATTAATGAATTTGAATGACTGTGGTTTCCTGGATGGACTGAACTGAACTGAAATGGACCACATCTCTGATTAATGTCGGGTACCGAGTCTCCAACTGCCTTTATAGAGAGGAGCGGCTCGCGGGATTGGCTCTTACAGGAATTTGCCATTGGTGCGTGGTGGGGAGAGAAGGCGGGGCTCGGAGTCCTCCCTGGAGATGTTGCCATGGAACCAGGGCATCTTCTCATGGGCTGTGGTGGCGATCAGCTTCTCCAGCTGGGGTCGCTGGCTTATTATGGCCTGTTCCAGTGCAGTGCCCTGCAGGCAAACCCACAACACAAACATCACACCACCACACTGCAATAACAGTTTACAGGCACAGCACTCTCTACAGACACCTGTCCTCCTCTCGCTATCTAAAGCATGTTCATGACAAACCCTCAAACAGCGGCGAGAATAACTCAGTGGGGACACGTCTCGAGAGGAACCCAAGAGAAAGACCTCATCACTGGAAGTGTCTCCTGCAGAGATGTCTCTCCCGAGCCTGTGGCCCATCAGGCTGGTGCTGAACCCGTTTCTGCAGCATGAAGCCAATAGGAGTATCGCTCCTCCCCCTGAACAGGATGCAAGTGTCATGGTTTGTGAGGTGTGCGTGTTGTTTGGACTTTTCTTTGCGGCTCTCGTCCCAGGACGATATCGAATTCCTGGCCTATCGAATTCTTTACCCGGCTGGTTGATTTAGCTGGGGCGGCGCTTCCTCAGACTCTATATAAACAGGATGTCCGGCACACCTCCTTCGCTAGAGTGCCTGTGTTTAGCTTCGCGCTATAGCCAAAGATATCTGTAGTCAGGTTTTGTATGACTTTCTATCTTCTTATTGTTGGAGTTTCTTCTCCCTTTTCTATCTCTCTTTGCTTCCGTGGTTCGGACTATTACACGTCCTTTGGAAGCGCGAGTACTTGCGTTTGGTCTGTATTATTCTCTGAGTTTGTACTGTGTTCGTGCTGCTCTCTTTCTCTCTGGTCGTTGTGCTTGGCCTCCATATACTACCGGCCATTACAGCAAGTCCATCGCAGTTACCCTACAGCTCTTAGTCAGGTTTCCCTGACAATTTGCTGATACCCAATTATACACCTCTGTAGAGCGGGACACTGTAGAACATACCGTGGATAGGACTCGAACTCAGGACCTCTCAAGCCCAAGTCAAGCACACTTAACCGCTGCGCTACCACATCCCCCCTCAGACACACTCACTTTAAAAAGTAAAAACACAACTAGCTCTCTGTATGGGGCAGTATAAACAGTACTGCTGTGTTTTTGTTATCTTGAAGGAGTCTACTGCGTCTTTTAGAACAAGTAAAAAAAAAAAAACAGAAGCTGCCATGATTTTACTTGCTAGAGCTGCAGTCTACACAGCCCGGTCACATGACTGAATTTGACTCTAGCCCAGGCTGCGGCTCTGACAAGCTAAATCCAGGCAGTTTCTGCTGTTTTTTAAGCTTGTTCTAAAGGACATCATAGACAGCAACCACGTTAAATAACCAACTCTGCATGTGTAAATGAGGTTTATTGTGTGGACTGTGTACTTAAAAAGCAAGAATCACATTTTTGAAGTCAAAAGTAATGACATGTATACTGGAGGCCACCTGGTTCCATGATAGCTGCTAACTGGCTAACACGTAGCAGCCTGCGTTATCTCTGGACAGAAAAGATCGTTTGTGAAACTGTTAAGTAGACAGGTGAACACCAGATGAAGGAACTGAAGTGTTTATTGAAACACAAAACACTAGGAGAAAATTGGCAGACAAGCCAGAAACAAAACACCGTGCACATGCACTGAACGATTAGGAAAACTATGGTACACTGCCAAAGGCAGGGGGAAAGAAAGGTACTCATTCAAAGAGTGGCTAAACTAGAAAAACAAAAACTGGACCTAACTAGACTGACGGACACACTGGGAGACTTAAACAAGGGGCAGACAAGACGTGGGCGCAGCAAAAAGCAAGACTCGGGAATCATACGAAGGAAATACTCGGAAGGCACAAGGAGCTGAGATTTCACCATGCAGAGCAGAGTCTAACAAAGTTCTGTCTGACGTCTCCTCTCTCCTGCCCACAGATATAGACACGGGAGGAGGCGGGGACTCGGAACGCAATCTCGAAAGGAAACAGAAACACATGGGATTAATTAAGCAATTACACGAGAACCGGGTAAACAATAATGACTCGAGACAAGATGCTGAGACAATCAATCAAACTAGACGGTTTAGATTGAGGTAATCTAAACGTGACAAGTATAAAGCACCACGAGAGAAGCAAAGCAAAGCACAGCTTTAAGCGCAGTTAATCAGGGAAAGCTTAGGCAGGAATTACTAAAGCTAGAAACACTCGCACTCGCTAATGAGTCAATTAAGGTTAACACTACGTGACGAAATATTTACAATCACCCTCAAATAAGTGCTGGTTAGTACGGGTTAGTAATTATCCTATCAGAGAACGCATTCACTCAGAGTTTAGCGAGACCCAGAATCAAGCACAGGTGGAAGCAATGAATGAAATACCACAGCCGAAACCGAAAGAGGAAACATGATTGGACAACGAGACTCAGGCATGCTGAAGGCTATCACACGACACCACTGGAGTTTGGGCAAGAGAGAATCGAACGTCACACGGCGGGAATGAAAGCTGAAAAATAAAACGAAAGTAAAGCACAAGCACAAATAAGCACAAAGACAACACACATGAGGCAGAACCATAACAGAAACTGTCTCCAGGAGTTTATTTACTCAAAAACCTGATGGAAATTTTGGACACGATTCATGTGTAATGATGCAGCATATTATGCCGGATTTTTGTAATTATTATCACATAATCAAACGCTATAACGAGTCATGCCGCAATGCATAATGGTCTAAGTCTAAGGTACAGCTTCTGTATGTTATATTTTGGTGTGCCGTGCAACGCTTTTCTAATGCACTAAATAGAATCATTAATAAACAGTTTGAATTTCCAACAACACTACAGAATGACTGATACACTATATAGTGCTCAGTGTAGTGAGTGAGAGCACATTTTAGACACAGACCTTGTGCGTCTGTCTGCTGCACTAAAACACCAGCACATCTATGTACCACCAGTATCTGTAGCAGCTATAAGCGGAGCTACCGCGGGGGCCAAGGAAGCGGCCGCCCTAGGGCCCATGGCTAGTGGGGGCCCCCTGCGGGGCCTTTACGGCATCACTGAGCCAGCTTCTCAGCACCGCCTAATAGGGGTCTTGTGTAAGATATAGTGCTACTTTGTCACGTAAAGTATAGCTTTGTTGAAAATTTAATTTCACAAAATTTCTACTAACAACATCCAATATCTGTGCGTGAAATTTATATGTCGGTCCTCATGAAGCCGAACTCATCTCTATCATGGGTTTTTGTCCAACAATCATTCATGGCATTTTATAACAAATTTACATGCTTAGTCTATACACGTTTTAAAGACTATTAATGAAATCAACAGTTATCTTATTTTATTTGATATTTCTCTTTCACACTGATATGCTAATATGTCAAGGTGATTGCTGGGTAATGTGTGGTCAAATGTTAAGTCTGCATTTGATTTGATCATGTGACCATATTAACATCTGTAACGTCTGAAAGTTCAAGCGCAACATCTGAAGAACCACATGTTTGCAAACTCAGGAGCAGCTCAGGAGCAGTTATTCCATTCAAACGTAAAGCAGTAGTCAAAAACAGGAAAAAGAAGAAAGAACAGGAGGAGAGGGTAGCAGCGCTGCCAAAACTAAGTTAATTCGGCTTTCTTATCAGCAGCTGCCGAGCCACGGGCAACCCCTCCTCAAGCAGCAATGCAGCCAGCAGGTAACAGATCAGGCAAGATCAAGCTAAGCTAACGCTTGACCTAAATAATGATAACATCCGCGGCTATTGTATGAATTTCAAGACAAGTCGAGGATTTTGCTCAACGCAAAGCTTGCCGAATGCCATTCAAATAGGTGAGTGACTTTTCTTTTAGTCCAGAGTCGATTTATATATATATATATATATATATATATATAGGATGTATGGCATAAATAAGGCTGTTTGTGTGCAGTAAATGGATCATTGTATGGGGTTTATGCAGACAGTGTTTCGCTGGGCAATTGTTTTAAAAATATTTAAATATTGTTAAATATTTAAGCTTTTTTCCGTCTCGTCGCATGCTTTTTCAAGTCATTATCAAGTCCTGTCTTTACGTAAGATAATGCGCCAGTGAGGTAGTCACACAAAAACGCAAGTTTACGGACATTTTAACTGACCCACTTATCGCGGTAGAGAAGAAAGAGTGGGCAATAAATGAGGATGGTTAGCGCATCGTGTGCAAATTATGATTTAATTGATCTATATGCATCTTTGGTTTATTAGTGAGATTTTTTTTTTTTTGGGGGGGTGGTTTATTAGTGAGAAAGGCTATTAGAATTTAGTATTAATATTTAATATCGCAAATGCATGTGATATGTCATCAGTAACATGGCTACCGCTGTTCCACTGAAATTTGTGACCCATTGAAATCTGTGACCGCAGGGAGCATGGTCCATAACAGAGCACTTACATCAACAGCGTACCACTATTCTCATTTAGCAGACGCCTGGCAACCATACCCTATGTGCTTTTGTTGCCAAAACACTGGTAACTTTTTTTTTCTCCCTGCTCCCTCAGAACAAGCTTGACTGACAAAGTAGCTTCACTGTGTTTTCTTAAACATAAATTTGCCTGGCTCAATAAGTGAAGATTTGTGTTGGATAGGATAGAATAAGATATTGGCCTATCCGTTATTTTACAGTTGACTGCAATGACTATCCGAGGGGCCCCTCAATAATGCTCCGCCGCCTCTGGGGTGAGAGCCTAGCTCCGCCCTCCTTCCTGCGATGGAAACAGGCATGTACTGAGCAATCAAATAACGCAACACTGGCGGGAAGAACAACATCTTCGCTTGAGTGTGGCAATAAAGTGACCAGCCCAGAGAGTGGGACACAGGCCTGTGTTTGAGACTGCGGTTTAACTGTTTCCTCTGAAACCAATCAGCTCTTTCCCAAAAACTGGAAGGGAAACATTCGCTCAGAGGGACAGGACAGGACACATTCGACAACAGAAATTTCTGATTTCGAAAGTAAAGTACATTTGTAGATGGCAGCTTTGGGTAAACGATGGGGTCTCTTTGGAGGCAAATAAACGAGGCAGCTGTGAACAGAGTCCTATGGGCACCGAATCCTTCACTTTCACTCACTTCTTAGCATCCATTTTAAACCACAGAGAAAAGTGTGCTATTGATTGACCACATTTCTGAGTCTATTTCCAAAAACCATCAGAGTTAACAGAAACACCTGCATCAGCAGATGGCAGTACTGTCAGAAGCCTCTTTGCTGAAATTACTGCATGAGCAACGATCAGCCTCCATTAATCCTAACTGAGACAAATGGTCACCTGCTCTCTGTGACCAATCAGCCGCCAGTCTCTAAAGTTGGACAACAGCAAAAAATGAATATAAAAGGAATCTCTAACTGACTAAATATGAACAATAAAACAAACCAAAAATGAAGTAACACACTCGGATGGCGAGTGCCACATAATTCAGGCGATTTCTGCCAGTCCACACACTTCGTCTCCAAGGGCCGCTGTTTTTTGTTGATTGACAGTAATTAGAAAAATCAGTGGCGGGTATTTCAAACACAGAAGATAGGAGATGTGGGAGAGAAATTAGGACAGAAGGGACAAAACTACGAGAGGAATGAGGGAAGGAAATGAGCCCAGCAAGGAGAAACAGAGGGAACAGTGAGGGAAGAAGTAAAGGATGGGGTACGGAGGGAGAGAGAGAGGGAAGGAGAGAGGGAGGGAAGGAGGGAAAGAGAGAGGGAAGGAGAGAGGGGAGGGAGAGAGGGAAGGAGAGAGGGAAGGAAGGAGGGAGAGAGGGAAGGAGAGAGGGAGAGAAGGAAGGAGGGAGAGAGGGGAAGGAGAGAGGGAGGGAGAGAGGGAGAGAGAGTAAGGGAAGGAGAGAGTAAAGGAAGGAGGATGAGAGAGTAAGGGAAGGAGAGAGGGAGGGAGAGAGGGAAGGAAGGAGGGAGGGAGAGAGGGGAGGAGAAAGGGAGAGAGAGGAAGAGAAAGGATGAGACGGGGCCGACGCACCTGTAGGTTCCAGGTCTGCCGCACGTACTGTTTAATCAGCTCCTCCTTCAGGTCCTCGAAGGGCCC